TAGTGGGCACGTGATATTTGCCCATAGAGAGAGAGCATATTTACATCTAAGTGAGGCGCCCTCTTAATAATCAACAGGGAATGACACAAATGTGAGCTGAAGGCAAGAAGATATTGTATACACCTTAGCAGCAGCTCAGGAGTCAGCTGGACCTCCCACTATTGCCTCGCTGAGAAAGAAGCATGTCTTGACACAAGACACAAACTCTTTATAACTCCTGTGTTGTGTTACGTACCTGCATGGTGGCCAAGGGAAATCTGACACAATTCCTAGAGATTAGGAGAAATGCCTAAGAACACATAATTTGTTTGGTCTCAGATTTTTCCATTGCTCACAGACACAGACAGACCAATCCCTGCTGATGTGGGGAGGCACATACGCATAACCAGCTTATGTAAAAGCCTGATTAATTCAGGCCTGTGACTGTGTTTTCTGTCTGTTTCTGGACAGCAGCAGGGAAGAAGTTAATGGTGCTCTGATGCTTGTAATATTTCCGTCATTGCTATTGAACCCTGCAATTCCTGATTGTTTTCTGGCAAATTTTCTTCTCAGCAATACTTGCTTGGTAGAACCCCTTTGGTCATTTTATTTTCAGGTTTAATCTTGCTTACTCTCACTATTATGATTGCATGTCCTCCTGTGGGTTAAAAGCACCTTCTTATCTGCCATTTCATGGTAGGAAATATCATGAAAGTTTCTCATTCAAAGTGAAATAGTCAGGAGGAGGAAGCAGATATATTGGTAAGATAAAAGTAAACATTTAATGCCACTATAGTTTGATTTTTTTTCCAGACATCATATTTTTGACAATGTTTCACACCTCAGATACCACAAAAAGGATATTTTTTAGCCAGCAAACAATAAACTTTACAATTTTAATGGCAAAAGGCTCAATGCATTTGTTGACCAACTTGAAAATGGCTGTGACTTTCCACATTTTCAACTTATCCTCATGCTGTTCTTTCTTTTTTTCCCCATAAAATTTAGTTGATAAAATATATATATCTACCACTGATACAGCCTCTTCTGGAATTGCCCACTGGTGGGACCAGCATAAGTTCTATATCTATCAGTTTCTCTCCTCCTTAGCCCTATTTTATACCACTGTTAAAATGAGAAAGAACATAGCCACAGACAGAGTGAAATGGATTTAGCAAACATACACTGCAATGCATAGCACTTAGATAAGCATTTCCAACCATCATGTGTAAATAAATTATAAAATACAAGCAACTCTATAAAACAAGAACATCCTGAGTTTACAAATAAATTATATCCTTCATACATAGAATATGATGTGGATGTTAGTAACCAGCAGTTTCAGCTATGGGAGGGAAAGAAGTAAAACGTAGAAAAGTTAGTATCTATGCATACATAAAACATATATGTATGTGTGCTACATGTAAATACTCACACACATACATATACAATATAGAGGGTGAATACATCCATATCTATATTATATAGAGAATATGTAATATAGCTGAAACTGCCTCAAGCACCAATTTATTACCATTATTATAAAGTTCGCTCAATACTTAAGTAGGACCACTCAAAGTAAAATGGTTTGGGTTGTGTTTTATTTCCTGTCCAGGAGCATTTGAAGGTAGTTTGAAATATTATGGTTGAATGCTACTATTTCACTTTCAGTACCTCCATTCTTTGCAGAATCGTCATGCCCTTTGTGAGCTTCAAAATGTTGCATAAGTGAGCATGAGACTGCTGTTTATGAAGTTGGTGGCAAAATCCATATTGACTTCAACTGGGTTAGTAAAAGAGTGCTATGTTTTCAGGGAAAACAGATTTTTCTTTTTTTTCTTTTTTTTCTTTTTTTTCTTTTTTTTTTTTTTTTTGAAAGGTTGCTTGAGAAGGAGAAGGAAGAAAGATAAAGACAATAATAAAATGGTTTATTATTTCCAAGAGCAGGTATGGAAACTCTGATAACCCTGGGATGAGCACACAATAAATGTGAGAGAGAGAGAGAGATTATTAACTTTGCACTGACAAATCATTCACAGTTTTGTTTGCTATAGTTATTTGGAAACCTGTTTCAAATCTTATGATAGCTAGCAATGTCCAGGCTTGTATCTTCAGAAACTGCTGTGTGTTGCCAATGCAAAAGCCTGTGGAGTAACAAATCAAAGACCATGAGGACATCAGGATTAAGCAAGGTATGCCACCCATCCGTGGAATTGAGAAAAAGTGCCTCTCCATATGGTCATCATCCACTCCTATCAGTGTTTAACAACACCAATGCTTTGATCTCTGCAGCGAGCTGGTGTATCCCTGATGCTGTGCAATCATCCCTCCCATCATATGAACTGGCATCAGAGGGTCATTCAGCCTCTGTTTTATAAGAATGGAATTTCCTTCTGCAGTGAAGAAGCTTCAAGTTATAATTTTAAAGCTATTAGGACTAGACAGAAAGCTTGATCTCATAGACCACCAAGACTCCAGGTTCTCACTTGATGTAACTATGCTGTATTCCTCATACATGCAGAATTTATTGTATTTAACAGCTGAGATTGTAAAATATCTTGCCTTTAATTCATGACACCCTGAAATATAGAGTAGTTCATTTGGAATACTATTACAGGCCTCTAGATGGGAGCTGCAGCAATTGGCTTTGTAGATTGAAGAAGGTGGGGAAGAAAGGACTTTTTAAAGCAGGCCTTAAAAGTGTTTCAAGCTAAGTTTTCTCTGTAGTGTGGCGTGAGTCACCTTCATCCTGGTGAATGCAAGGAGAAAGGTTTTATAGGCACTCCTTGGAGGAGGAAGGGGGAGTGGTGGTGTTACCATTTGTGAACACCTATGCCACCTCCCCACAATAATGTGTGTGAGGACTGTCTCAGACTGCTTGCATATATACTTCTCTGTATGTATATACCCTTTGTTTTTACAATTATTTTTAGTTCATAAGAAAGATGCAACAAAATCACAAACATTTATAAAAGGTAATGTTTGTAAAAGAGTCTGTATTCTTCAGCTGTCATCACATTTGAATTCCATGCCACAGATAATAGTCCCCATTTTAAGACATACCATAGTATCGAGACAAATGAAAAAAATTTAAATCTCCCATACTTCAAGATGGACTGAGCCTATCCTGTGAGCAAGCATGAGACTTGGTGAGCATTATTTCCAGCATCACTCCCAGTTTTCAGCCTCTATATCTTTCATCCTTTTCTGTACATTATCTGCAACTCTCACTTAGCTTGCTTCATGCCAGAGGATCATGCCATTGCTTGTTACCACTTACTGTTTTATGTACCTGCATGTTTCAGAAGTTATGTTTTATGGCAGTGGGTACTCCAAGACTGAATCAAAGTCAGCAGATGTTCAGCAATAGCTCTGTGTGTGGCCCTTATGCAAAATGAGGGGATATCAAATATGTAAGAGGAGAATATTTTGCTACAATATAACAGCACAGTAAATACAAAAAAAAAAAAAAAAGGCAGGTGGATGAATTTTCCTTTTCCTTGCTATGGGAAGGTTACAATGCTGTAACTCTCCTGACTCTTAACACAATTGTGCTTCAGTTTTACTAGTGCAGGTGAGATGAGAAGAGGCCCAGTAAAGACCTAAGAAAGGAGAGCCCAAGTACTGGTTTGCTTCCTTGTCTCTCTATAAAGTAATACTTCGGATTGCTTAGATCTGAATGAATTGACAAGGAATCAGTTTGAGGCAAATACAAGGCATGCATGCCTAGAGAAAAGACTTGTGTCATTATGACAAACATACCAGGAATTAGGGCTCTCCCATATCCTCTAGGACACAAAGTGACCCAGCACCTGGAGCCAGCAGGGGTGTGACCCATGGCTTTCTGCCTGCTGCAAGAGCTCACACAGACCAGAAGGATGTCTGAATCCAGATTGCAGCCAAAGTCTCCAGTCTAAGGCTACACTTGAATTGGTGGCTATGAAGCAACTTCTGTCCCTTGTATGAATAAGGCTCACATATGCAAAGACGAGCAGTTCCCAGAATAAGCCTCAAGCTGCCCCACAGCTGCCCGTGCTGGAGAACAGTGGTGGGGATACGGAGCAGTAGTGCTGTTCTGCAGCTGTCACACAACTCGACAATGAAGAGCTGTGATCTCCTGTCACAAATGCAAACAAAGAATTAACCTTCAAACCTAATTACATTAACACTGCTGTTCGCTACTAAAGCTGTCCCAGGGAAATAAGATTGATTTCTGAATGTGCAAATGATTAAGCATTACATTCATGTTGTTCCTTGTGTATTTTAGGCAACATGATGCCTTTTAAAAAATCAACATAAAAACAGCATTATGCTGGCAATTCCTTAAATAATGGGACTTCCTGGATGACTTGCAGAAGTGTATGGGTCTTCTGTAAAATGCTGACTACTGCAGACTAAGATCCATTGCATAATAAGGTCTTGATGCTTTTAATTACCTCTTTTGCAGATATTTGAAATATAATAATATAAATACTGAAGTAAAAAGCTATTTTTGAGAAGAAAACTTTTTATAGTGTTCAAATCTCTACAAATTTTTCATTCCTCTTTTTCCATTAAGCCATCACAATTCTTAAAAACATAGTGGCAAATTCTGAATTGCAATGACAGAAAGTCAAGAAAGAGAAGATGAGTATGGATTTTAGGATATGAATACTAGTATATAACGGGAGTGTTAATGGTCACTTTAATCAGGTCCTCAGAAATAAAATATTTTTAAGTACTATGATTCTGCTAATTAGTACATAATTTTCAGTATGCAAAATTCATCCTTGGCATAATCCATTTGGTTTCAGGAATCAATTTTGGTCCATCACGGTAAACAGAGCCAACATATGCTCTTACTGTTTTAAGTAATGGCTAGGTAGACATGCTGCTTTCTGTGCGTCCCAATCTACAGAAGTACCAAATCTAGAGTCAATGAATAATTGAGTTAATGATGATAAGGAATATTACATGCAATCGATATTTTACAATACCCCTGAAATGTGTCCACTCGATTTATAGAAACATCACCACTCTTGTATAAGTTTCAGACTGTGTGTAGAGACGATTTCCTTGGCTCCCTGCAGCTGTTTTTTTTTTTGGTTTGGTTTGGTTTGGTTTTGAGTTTTTGGTGGTGGTGGTTTTTTCCTTTGAGAGAGAAGGGGATATGTCTTGCTTGGAATAAAAGTTTCATGATAGGAAATTGAACAGAGTAGAAACTGACTTACATGTAGGACCTTTTTTCCCCTCCAAGTAATTCTATAGATTGTAAGAAGAATCTTCTACAAAATCCAGTGACAAGGGTAATAGAATTAATAAGATTTGTTATTACTAAATGAAAATAAAACTATAAAAATGTTATTTCTATTTTTAAAAAAAGCTTTTTTTTTTTTCACCTAACCACTAGAAAATCTATCAGTATTATTTTTCCACTGGAACTTGTTGCCTGGGATATTGTAAGATAGCATTAATCTGATGTTGCAGGTAAAAGAAAAGTTGCACGTAAGTACAGCAGTAGATGCATTTTGAGTATATATTAAATGAGGCTCTTATTTCCTCACAAGCAACAGGAGGGTGGCACAACTGTATGTGAAAGAGGAATTTCTGTGTATAGGCTTATTTCAATACAGAGGAATAAGAAACCTAATTCAACAAAATAATGCTTCATGCCCATATGTAATTAAAATGCAGATTTTGCACATTTTTTTTATAAAACACAAAGGATTTTCCTTCTCACGTACTCTTTTGTAGATAAAGAGGCAAACTAGTAAAACATTTGGATGTGCATTGAGGCACAGGCCCCTGTCCTTTTGACGTCAATGTGAATTTTGCCATGGCTTCACATACTGGAGGATTAGTGAAGCAGATGCCATAGCCAACATACTTGAAGTGCTATATCTACTCATTTACTTTATTTCCAGATATACTAAGCTAAGTAGAGCCTGAGCTTCTCAGGTATGTCTGTGACTATGGACACACTGGGCCAGGGATCCAAAGCTGCCAAAACATATTTTGCAGTGGTATATGTCATAAAGAGGTGAAGGTAAATTTTATCAGTCAGAGCTTGAAGAAAGAAATCACAGAATAATCACTCATTTTTGGACTGATAACTGTTGGAATATTAAGCCTAAAGGATAATTTTTCAGCAAGTTATTAGCACCAGAAAAAGGGGTTAGGATAAAAGTACCTCCTCATTCATAACTCCAGCCAGTACAAAGCAAAAAAAAATATGAAAAAAAAAACAAGTTGGGGGGGTTGGATCAAACTGAAAAGATGTTTACTTCACAGTAATGTCACTTCTCCTCTCTCATACATTGCAAAACCTACAGGCTGGGAAAATTACTGTGTTCTCCAGCATATAAGAGAGTACAGAAGACATATAAGCAAATCTTACTCTCTGCTAGAAATACTTTTGTGTCATCTGGGAAAGTTGAATTTCTCTTTGAGTGGCCTTACTCTGGTAACAAGAAAAGACAGTTAACATTTATTCATATGTTGTACTGATTAGGAAATATCTCTACAAACACAAGTTACCTAGAAACAGCAAGTCTGAAATAGGAGAAAACACCAAGAGAAAAACAAGCTGTAAATACATTTCAAAAGTGTATTTGTTTTTTTTCCTTTTTCTTTTCTTGACTAGCACCATCTGTACACAATAAAGTATGAACATAAATGTTTGGATAATAAAGATTTGCAAGGCACTTAAACAGTTTTTCTGGATAGGTTTTCTTTTAATGAACCTCTCAGTGGAAGTCCTACAACCACCTTTTCTCCTTCCTCAGCTAATGCAGGGAAAGAAGTGTCTTCTGCCAGCAGTTCTTATTTACAGACATATCCTTAAAGGTTCCTCAAAGTGCTCTTTTAGGCTAAGAGAATCAACAACCTTATATCTCCATTTTTCATGCTTGTCCCGTTTTTTTCTAATACAAGACCTCTGTATAGTATAGCAAATCTCTCATACACACAGTTGAGACTTGACTCCAACCTTCATCCTCATTCTTTTGTCTTTGGGATGCTACTTGGAAGGGAAAAGGAGGATGGCAGAGATGCACATTAAAATTCTCTTGAGGTTCATACTTTATCGGCGTCTAGAGGTGATGTCAAAACAGGTGATCATCATAAGATGGGCCTTGCAGAAGTTGACACGGTTTTCCAAACGCTCAGTCACACATTCCAGGGCCTCCAGGTATTCCAGAGAATCCAGCTCAAATACCTGCTCCAGATCAACTGTGGGGGAAAAAAACACACAGATAGGAAAAGTAAAAAAAAACTCCAGTGATTGTTGTTGGGAGAGTCAGAACTAATTCAAGTCTTCAGACCCATCAACATACAACATTATTATCTCTGGCTTGCCACTGTTGTTAAAAGTTGCCTTTTCTCCTTAATGGCTATTAAAATGGCACAGTGGCTTCTAAACTGCATGGGATGCTTTCTTGAGCAATATGCTCTGCCATCCTCACCAGAGCTGCAGATGGCTTTTGCCACACTCCATCACCCTTAAGCAAATGTTGACTGCTAAGCATGTACTGACTTTCTCACACATTCTCCTGACCAGAAGCAGCTTTAAATAGCTGCTCTGTCCTGGGAGAACAACTCCTTTGTTGAATTCATAACTCGGAACTAGAAACCAATCCCTGGCCTCTTTGTTCCTCCCACCTTTCTCTGTTCCATATGATTCTCACTAGAACACTCAAGCATGGCAAGGGAAGGCACACACATCAAAAACTCCAACTTAGGTGCCCATATGCTGCCAGAGACCAGCCAACAGCAGCTTCCATGGAAGCCAAGTGTGAGATATATTGTCTGGGCCAGCACTTCTCATCTTATCTAGTCCCTGAGGTCTTTGCAACCCTGGAGGCTTTCTGCATTTACCACCCTGGAAACAGAAGCAAAGGCATCACACTCTAAGTGAACAGCACTGTATAGTAAATTCTTTGCTCTCTTTAAAGCTGTCTTTTTTTACTTCTCTTCCTTAATAGTGTTCCTGAAACCTATACTGTGGCTGTTTTGAAGGATGTACCAATCTAGGGTCAACTTAAGGCAACTGTCAAAGGAAGAGTTAGGATGCTGTAAGAGAACACACCAGCCAGCCTCCTTTTGCTACATGCCATTATCCTAGATAAATTGCATATTGTGGCTTTTTTTCTAGAACTTTTTGATATGAACTTGTCTGCTTGCTCATACTAAAAACTGTTGTATAACTACCGCAGCACTCTTTATGTTTTTTCCTTTGAGGTGCTGAGGCCCTTCTTCATTTGAATGTGAATGATCTTTAAGCTCTCTGAACTTTACATATATAGTTATAAAAAATGGGCCAAATTCATTTTTCATGTAAGCCCACTGGTGCCAAGGGACAAGTATGCTTCACAGTGTTATTTTGTGGTAGAAGAGCAGATTTATAATATTGCTTATACGTTTGAGTGATCTGAGGCCAAAAAAAAAAATCTCATTTTCAGGAGCTGTGAACTGAAACGCGTGAATGTTAATCTACCAATGGCAATATCCACCACTAGAATGCTGTACCATTTCAACATTCAGCTCTCGGGCAAAAAGGATTGTTCAGTTCTCCTGTAAACATTTAATAAGAATTATAGGAACTAGTTCTAGAAATACAATCAGCCTAAAACTTGCTCTTAGGTTATATGTTGGTTCATTTTAGTTCACAAACGTAGTAGCTCACATCTCACTCTCTTACCGCACATTTCTGCTCTCCTCCACCCACCCCCATTATATAAACCAAAGGAAACCTATGAGTCCAGGCAATAAAAGGATGCCCTTACATTCACTAAGCCATTTATTAGGATCCAGCATCAGGTACTGTTTTGTCACCTCCAGTTCTCTCATTAACCATTCGTACTTGGCCTTGACCTCAGCAATTCTCTGCTGGCGATGCTCCAGGATTTTCAGCTTGGCATTAAAACATATCACCTCCTGCCAAACAGGAAAAAGAAGCAAGGAAGGAATAGATGAAGAGGAGAAGAAATATTCAGATCCATTCAGTGAAATGATCTTCCAATCAATAATACTGACAATGAGACATTTATTCTGGAAGCATATGAATCACTGCATGAAATCCATCATCTTTTTTATTTTTATTGCTTTTGTTTGGTTTTGATGTTTTCCATCAGTGAGCTTTGGAGACTTTGCAATGGTAGTTAATAATAAACCATAATAATTAATAACAGGCAGCATCTTGAAATTAGATTAACTGCGGTAAAACATTTCTGCTTTTTGTCACCAGAGTTTGGCTAAAAAAACCTAAGCTTTTGGGAGAAGAAAATCCATTGCTTGCTTTATTAAAAGCCTAAATACACCCTTGTGCTTGGCACATAAGAAATGCAGTAGTCATATTTTAAAATAGAAAACTGGTAGCAATATAAAATTTAAAATATCCTTAAACAAAGGCAGTGTGTTATGAAAAGCTCTAGTAATCCACAATCATTGATAAGGATGATATATCTTCTGTAAAGATATGGAGCACAGTGACAGCACAGGGTGCAGTGCTGTCTGCGGACAAGAAGCCTGGCCTCATGTGACTTCTGAGAGGTGGCAACCATCAAGACGTGCAGCAAGTGACTCCACAGTGAGGGCTGTGCTACCCTTGCCAGTTTGGAAGCAATTCCAGTAATAGCACTATCCTCCTTCAAGCCTGTGTGAAGGTCTCAACACTATTCCACTTTTTTCTCTATTAACAAATCTGCTGTGTGGGTGAAGTGTAGTGGAAAACCCACCACAGAAAGTTTCTCCAAACAAAACCACGTCTGAGAACATCACGAACTGCCTAAACAAGTGATAAGAGGTAGGAAGGAAAAGTATCTTAAAATAATAATAAAGCCTGTATCCACAGTTACTCTAAAATACTCAACTTCAGATATTCCTCCCAATCTTCCATATCAAGAGCTGACCTTTACAATTTACACACTCCAGGAGATCACACAGATTGCACTCACCTTGCTGTCCCCACCTCGCCGTCGCTGGAGCCTCTCCACATCATCTATCTCATAGACTTTGATCTCAAAGGGCTCCCCCAGGCCCCTCTGCCCACTTCGCAGTGGCCCATCTACCCAGCGGACCCCAGGGCTGTTGGCAGGCTTTCTTGCTGGGGAAGTGGTATCCAGTGATAAAGCCGGAATAAGCCTCCGTCTCTGTGAACCTGCAAATGCAGAAAGTGCGTGTTAGCAGAGTTACTGCCTCTCCTTTCTGCCCCATCTGCAGAGAAATCTACAAATTATATATATTTGGCCTTTTTGCGCACAGAAGAAAATGGGTAGAAAACCCAGGGAAGCCATGGGAGCTGTAGCTGCAATGTGCTGTACCCACTCCCCATGAGTCAGATCCTCATGTATTCTTTGGTGTCTGACTCCAGGATTTGATACTCACAGGGCATAACTACCCTAAAGTTTACAGAGCCTGTATCTGCTCCCCTTTGCTTAGGTCTCGGTGTGTACAGGTGTGCCAACGAAGGATCAAAGCAGCAGGCTGGAACAGCTTTGTTTTCCTATCTCTTTACTGGTACTGACTCTTACAGCTGAAGGACAAGCATTAGCCAGCCTCTGCAAAGACCACCTCCAGGAGAGGTGTGGGTTTAGGTTTTTTTAATCACAGCACAAAAAGCACTGTGATACCCAAGCTCTTTCACTATCCTGGAGTTGAGTGAAAGAATACCACCATCTAGTTCTTTGCATAATAACACTGTAGGCTGACTAAAGCAGCAAAGCCAGTAGAGAGGACAAAAATGCCTGCAGTAAGTACATCCAAGCTTGGTGGTTGCCACCAGACTCACATTAGCCTTGTCTCCATTCAGTAGAATATTCTTCCAAAACATTTCCCATTTACACACTTTCTGCAGTACTGATGATGGGCCAGACAGAAGCAAGAACAGGCTGGCAGGCAGGTTAGTCACTGTGCCTGCTTCAATACTAGTGCTCGTGCACACACATCCTGCTTTATAATACCAGTGCAGTGGATGGGAGTGCTGAAAAAGGCATCTGCCATGTGAGTTGCCAAGTCAGGGCCTAAGGTAAAGCAAGGAAGAAAATGTACGTCACTGGCCTAACGGCAGGGGTAAGAAAGCTGAACATGAGGTTTGTTGGAAGAAAGAACAAACAGACACACAAAAAAGAAAAACAACTGGTTGCATTTGCTTGCTTGGTTTAGCACAATTAGAGCAATGAATGGGTTTACAAAAAAAAAAAAAAAAAAAATTTGCAGCTGACAATTCCTGCAACGTCTCCCCTAGGAGGCAGCAGGAATAGAAGGGATGGGAGAAGCCAAAAACAAAAGCTGGAGCCAGCAAGTTTGTATGAAACTATTAACTGACTCTCTTGGCTGCAAGAATAAAAGTGATGCCAGCAGGGAAGAGATGCAGAATAATTATGCAGATTTTATTTTAAAAACAAGATAAAACCATTTATAGGAATATCCCATATTATATTTATTGAGACATGAATGCAAATAGTTTCAACATGTCTGTCAACTTGGTGCTTCAATGAAAGCCAAAAAAAAAGAACACCAAACAAAACTCACCCAAAACAAAACCCTCCAAATATCTATTGATTACCTAGTTTTCAAATTTGCCAGTAACAAACCATTGTCGAGTTTCATTCATGGTAGTCTGTTTCTCTGCTGATTTTGTCAACTATCACATCTTATCCCATGATTTCTGAGTGCAGCAGTCTGTGCTAGAAACCAGCAGTTAAAGACCCGTAATTAACCTGTAAATGTTAGCTCTAGATGAGAATGGTCTATCTTGCTGTCTATCTGTAAAGCGTAGTCTACAGAGCTTTTAGTTGAATTCATCTGAGATAATTGGATGCAAGAAAAGAAGAGCACAGCCAAAGCTGATGGACAGAGAGCTCTGTGTAGTCAGGGAGCTCTACAAGGCTGTTTTATAACAAACAGCCTGAGATCTGGACTGCCCATCCTGTGACACCTATAATAGTTGTATTTACTACTCAAACTGCAGCCCAGCAAAAAAGTTCATGCCAGAACAAATGAAGCCTTACAAATACTAGCAAGTAGGAGTTATTTTAGATCTGTAGTACCAGTCACTGGAAGACAATGTCAGTATTCACTTACATTGAATACATTTCAGTTAATCTCTAGATTAAACTGCCTGATCAAGAGAAGAGTCAGATCTTGATAAAAGGAAAAGCAAGACCTGACCCATTACCACAGATAAAAACTGAAAACAATGAGAGAAATACAGTTTGGGAAGACCTCAACAAACTGTAACGCTAAGGGTGACTCTTGTCAGCAATGCTAGAGAAAGGTAACCAAATGGTGGGAGCAGGTGCATACTTGAAGGGAAGTGAGACTATTAAATTTCGTTACATGCAGGAATAGATCTTGCAACAGGCTCAGGCCCTCCTGGGAAACAAACCCTCCGCTTGCTTAGATGGGAAGGGCACTGAGTATAGTCCTAGTGTCACTCAAGAGCAAAATGAATTCAGGCATTAAATACATTTTAAAATATTTTTTAGGGTTTTGGTGTCCCACAGGAGCAGTCTTTCAAATTTTATCTGCGTGTAAAAGCAATCTCTTTGCTGTTTCTCAACTTTTAGACTCGGCAATATTTACAAGCATCAGATCGGACCTCCTGTTTAATGCACTGAGTGCTGTTAATTCTTTTTATTTTCTGTTCCACATTGGTGGTCACACTCCTCTCTTGACATGCCTACAGACTAGCTCTAGCATTTCCAGGAAGCAGCTGAGCAGACTGGAAATTCCTTCTGCCCAGATTTCCACGCATGGCTGAATTATGACTAAGGTAGTGCCTTTTTCTGTGATGTTTGATTTTCTTCCCCTTTTCCTCACTGTGGCTGTCAACATCACCTTCTTGTGCAATGAGGCACTTTCAAACCACCCCCCTGGAAAAACTACACCTCTGCCCAGAGACAAAGCCCAGCTCTGGGAATGCAGGTGGATGGCTCCAATGCACTTTGCCATGACAACAGCATCATGCTCCTACTTGGAGCAAAGCAAAACAGATGTCACTGGGGTATGAGATACAGGGATGATGGTAAATATTTTTGCATTTAATTCTCATCCATATATGTTTGACTCAATGAGAAACAGAAGCCTGGGGTCTAGAAGGAGGGCTCCAATCTGAGGCCTTGTTTAACAGCACTTGCTTATCCCTTGGTGGAGAGGCAGAGAGGACTACAGTATGGCAGGAGACATTAACTCATTATATTTTTCTGGTCAGAGCTCACGCCTGGATTGCCCATGGGTTATTACAACAAAAGAGCTGCTGGTTGTTGGTGCACTGAGGCAATGCAACAGGGCAGAGCTACCACAGGCTACCGAACTCCCCACTGTCTGCCCAGGGGCTCCTTTGGGACACAGGTCTCCAAGTGGGTACAACTGTATGAGATGCAGAGAGGAAAGAGAAAGAGAGATGTCTTTTTATCTGAGCCTTGAATGCTGACTCAGGATGATTTATCTGAGGTTTAGAGTGCTTTGAGGGGAAATTAAATGAAAGATCTTCTTCATCTTTCCAGTAAGGCAAAACCAGATCCAGTTTGTTCTAAACATGCACTAATTAATAGGCTTTTTATTAGCCCAGGTACAGAAAATAAGTGTCTTTTGACAAGAGACTCCTGCCACTGACATCTCCATTTAGCCTCTGTTTTTTTTCTGATGTTACCTTAATTGGGATCAGTAAGGAGATACAGTCAAAGCAGAGCTTCAGGATGAGTGTCACAAAGCAGCTGACAGCTTGTTCATCCGTAACAACACACAGACACAACAATTAAATTGTTAAAATTAATACAGTTTTCCCTTTATATAGAAAATACCCATTTGAAGTTCCAAATTTATTGGGAGCACTTGATGGAGCTAGGATCTCATCAATTTTGACTGTATAATGAATAAAATGCTTTGTCGAAATTGTATCACACTGCTCCCTGGACAGCCAGGGAGCTCAACAGGAGCAGCTCTCAGTATGTCCCTCCCACCTCTGCCCCACCTCTGCCCCTCAGCAAACTGGCTGACCCTCCTGCCATGTAAATGGGATTAATTTCTCCATTCAAAAAAGAAATTTATACCAAAAATCAATCTTAAATAAATCCAGTAAGATGAACCAAGGGCAGAATAACAACATGTTCATTTATGACCATGCAGCATGTAAAGCAACATGTAATTTGCTAAATGTCTTGAAGGATATGTTTTTCACTTAGTTTGAATTTATCCAGACTCCTGACCCTATCTGGAGCGTGAATAACCATGCTATGAAATAGCCCTCAAAATGTGCAGGATACAAGATTTGCTTTTGCAATAGATCTGTTGCTCTACCTTGAGCTATAGGTTAAGGTTTGACCAGGTTACAGTTAAGGTACAGAGACTAGCAGAGCAGTGAAGGTGTGTGGTGTGAAAGCAGATCTGACTGAAGAGTGGCACTTAAGGAACATGCTTCAGAAAAGACAAGCTCAGAGAAGCCTTAAAGTATGAGAAATACAGACCAAGGGTAAGGATAAGAAGACACACTGACCTCAGCAAAATTGCCAACACGCATAAGGATGTGTGCTCAAAAAAGTATGTGTTGACCAGGGCAGAAGCTTTAAAAAGTCTGGTTTTACTTAAGTACTGTATATTTTAAAGTGTTCCCCTTAGATTGCTTTCCAAGCACACACTCCAAACTGAGCATCTTCTCTGCGAAAAGGTAAAGGTAAAAACTGCAAATGCAAAATTTTAATGAAAAGCAGTGTGATGCATATCTCTTCAAAGCAGGATACATCTGAATGGGATTCAAAACAACGGCTGTCCTAGAAATTTCAAGTTGTTTCAAACAGAAAATGAAACTGTAACTTGATATAACATAATTTCAGAAGTTTATAGTGTGTGCTCAAAGGCAGGATGTGCAGCCAAAGCTATTCCCCGCAGCACTTAATGTTACGGGATGTAAAATTGCCTTTCTGTACAGAACTTGCTCTTCAGCATTTTGTTTTTTTCTCACCAGACAGTCCAAGGCAATTACTAAAACCAGTCCTGGCTAACTAGAGAAGTACCCCTAAGCTCCCACCATTCCTTGTGTAGCTTAATTTCCAAGAAATATTGTGCCTCCAATAGCAATAGCATCAATGTCAATTGTAGCATCAAATTGTTTGTTTACCAGCAAAGATTATCTGTCCTGTTCCTCCTGCTGCTCCTCAC